AGGTAAATCTGTATGAAAACACAGTGATCATCTCACAAACCTGTTTTGAAGGTGGCCTCATAGCATCATTTTCATGGAGGCACTAATAGAAGGTGGGAGCTGGTGCAGCCGCTGCATCCCATCTTAGCGGTCAGTCTCTTCAGTTTTATGCAGATTTTTACCCCAGAGGAAGTTTGGGTCAGTGCTGCTCTCCTTCATCCCTCAGGGTAAAAGCAGAATACTGGTAGTGTGAGAACCTAGAGCCCATGCTGCCAAGGCCTAAGGAGAGTTCTGACACTTCCAGAATTCGCACAGAAATATGAGCAGTTCTAAAGAGCATCCAGTCCCCTCGCCTTACCTAGCAGTGATTCAAGGACCATAAATATTTCTTCCATATGAAATCTAGGCATATTATTATGTCATATAACAACTAGCATCTCATTTGAGATTAATAAATGTGAATAGACATGTGAACGGTAACCTCTCTCCTAACCCTGCTTTGGTTCCCATGCCCATTTTCAGTAATCTCTTGTCATACTATTGTTTCCATGTGACCATAGAGTGCCTGGCACCAACAACAACATCTGACAAAGAGAACTTAGGGTATTTGTTTCATACATATAAATTGCTAAAAAGAAATTTTTGCACCCACAAGTTATACTTAAACCCAGGTTGCATGGCAGTGTTCAGAGAACTTGACTGGAATCTTCATTGATGCTAATTTTTTATAGGAAGGTGATTCAATTATGAATTTCTAGTGACTATAAATCCAGGTGTTTAATATGGGTTTTGTTTATAGCAATATATCAATGCACTATTATTAAGCTCATATGAAGAAAATTCAGGTTTATAAGATGTTCACAATTTAAAATTGTCACAAGACTCCAATTCAGGAAAGAAAAATAAAATGAAACTCCGTGGGATGTAATCATAAGACATTTTGAAAGAGCATACAGAGAAAAACTAGTCTTCTATGTTCTTCTCAGTGTCCAAATTGGAGTTTAGTGAGGAAATGGATCACAGTCTATAGCTGACTATGAGAAAGCAGAAGGACTTAGGAAAGATGAAGACCAAAAGGAAACGCTCTGTCCTTTGGTAATTGATAGTTACATTTTTCTTTCCCCATGGTGAAAGCAAACAGCTTTTCAGTCTAGGGGATCCTGCTTCTTATTGCAGCCAGATCACGTTTCCCACCAGTCTAAGGGTGTTCTGTATCGACTGCAGGTATATTAGGGCCTGTGCTTCATGCTTTCTGTGGCGAAATCAGCTAATCTGAGATGAACTTGAGTATATGCCAGGTATAAACACTGGTGCTATTCCAGGGTCTAGCCAGGGAGTTACTATTTCCAAGTAACTTTTAAAAAAGGAGCATCCACTTAAAATCAGAGAGAATCCCTTGATGAGAAGAACAGCAGTAAGCGCCAACACACTATGTTCACTTTTGTGTTCTATATTTTGGGGTAAGATGTGCCAGGACAGGTACATATGGTCCTCTATGCTTCACGTGTGTGTGTGTGTGTGTGTGTGTGTGTGTGTGTGTGTGTGTGTACCTGCAGAGTACTTTAGGACTATTCTTAGATCAAGATACCCTGTCATTAGGAAGAAAATCTCCTCTGTGTTTCAGTCCATATATTCTAACACTCTTCTTCACATAAGAAACACATGGGGCAAATGACAACCAATAGAATTCGTCCCAGGACAGGGTTTGTATCTGATGCACAAATGTCATGTTCTAACCTCGAACATTCTTCCTCCTTGTAGTCAATAGACACTGCATTAGCACGGCACATTTCTCCTCTGCGTGTTCTTAGGAATACCAACGTTAAAAGGAGGGGCAGGACGGTCTCCACCACCAGCTTCACTGATGGAACTTAATCTGTCACCTGCCCAATTTCAAAGAAAGATTGTTTTATGCTAGAATTAAACAGTTTATTTGAGGTGAGGAAAACATCGGTGCTGCTGTATGAAGTTAGATCATCATCTTTCCACAGTAAAAGACTCCCAGGGAATGTAGGTCTCACTGGGAATGTCCGAAGGAGGCACTGGCTTTGTGTAGTGCTCTGCTACCAACGTTTAAAAATGCTTAGCAGTGTAAGAAGAGGCCCTGGACTTAGTTTGCAATGCACACTGGAACTTATTTCCCTGTCCTTTCTGGATAGTTGGTTGATGTTGCTCTGTCCTTGGCCTCAAATCATGTTCTACGAATGCACAAAGCCTCTCCTCAAATCAAAGAAATGAACACTTTCTAAAGCAAGGTATTTTAAATTTAGCTTCTAAAGAGGTATTTCCTGTGGCAGGCTTTGGACTTACTGATTTCCAGCAAACTAAGAAATATGTCCAGGTAGATTTGCACTTATGCATTCTCACTCTGGTGTGTGTTTGTGTTCATTCCTCTTTATATACATTGGGAAAAATTCAAAAGGTATGCATTCCATTGCTCTTGTCTAAACCCACAATTTCTAACAGTGGTTTTATGGTTTGTTTTTAGAATGATAGATGAGTATACTACTTGGATTTGATTTTTTTTTAAAGTATAATTTTGAAAGAATTTAAATTGAAATTATTTTCTCATTTTTAAAAATCTTGGATAATAAATTTCATTTTAAAATAATTCTTGGAACTCAAGGTTCATAATAAATGTATATATAGAGGGGGAGGGGAATTAGTAGGAGAAAATAATGCTGCTCTAGTCTAGTGTTTACTGCACTGCATAGAACTAAGAGCAGGGCACTAGAAGTAGATCTGTCAGCAGCCAGCATGCTCTCTGTGAGCCTTGAAGACAGTTTCTGCTTCTTCGGTACCACCCAGGATGTTCGGTCTTACTGTAAGTGGAGGGGTCTCCATTGACAAGCCTCTGTAAATGGAATTTTAAGTCCTTAGAGAACTGATAAGTGTTTGCTCACTTGCTTTTAACCCTGGGCCCCCAACTTTTCTCTTTATATATACATGGGAAAGTTTCAAAGGGCCGGTGTGTTTCTTTGTTCTCATCCACATCCACAATTATTGGATGTTCCTCTGTGTCGCTGGGTGGAGGAGGAAGGGGTGGTCCAGCAGTCATTTACTGCCTACGAGAAAGTGCTCAGCCAGCTTCTTTGTCCTTTTTGTTAGGGACCACTGCCTCTCTAATTGTCCTGCTGCGGGAGAGCACGTGCCCTTGCCAGCATTATCTGATTCCTACAGGACTCTCAAGAGTGCTTTGTATACTGACCCTTAACTAAACACAAATAAGAATTTTTTCAGTCCCCTTCCCAAGTTGTTGCCTCAGGCTTGGATACCTGAGAGCTTTAGTTCAGGCGGGGTGTAGAAGCATTTGTACCTGCCGTCAGGTTTTCTTAAAATTTTTCTCCCCTAATTGTCAACCTGCAGTTTTGCAATCCCATCTGGAGGGGAGGCTGAAGATGGAGGGCAGGAGAGGGCTAGGACCTGTAGAAGTTAGGAGAGAAGTCAAGACAAACAGCTGCTCTTGTCAGCATGGGGATAACTGTAAAGAGATTAATAGTTATTTGCAGAGCAAATGGGAGGTAGTGTTCTGCAGTGGAATGTGAATGCATGCATGTGATGAAATGGGCGTGTGGCTGAGCATTTAGACAGATGCTCTCTGGACTGAATGGAATGGCCGAGTCCCTGTAAGAGAATTAAAACTGCATGAAATGAGATTATTAAAGTTTAAAATTATAAACAAAATTCAAATGCTCATTTCTTTGTGAAATAGTTTTTGGGAGGTTCTTCATAATTTTCCACAGCCTAGGTCTCTCAGGGTACTATTTCTATTGGAAAAAGAACTCCTTGCTTCCTTTATAAAGTATGTACCAGCAGCCTTGATTCTGTTCCCCTTCATTGGCTGAATCAGAAAACAAGATTTCCATGTCGAAAGGTTTCATGGGGGAAAACTGTACTGTAAACTGGTGGCCCTTTCTGGAAACAAGTTCAGTGTGATTCAGGTTTAGAATGGGCTTCCAGCTGACTAAGGGATGGATGGAACCCTGCACTCAACAAAAAGGCAGCTTCAGAATTTCTGCCCTGCCTGGTAGCAAAGGCTTGAGCAAATCACTTCCCCTCTCTGGTAGTGAGAAAGAATTTAATTCAGGCTTTCCATTTTACTGAGAACTAATGGTGATTGATCCCATTCAAGTAGAAGGGCAAAGCACCTGTCAGTTGGAACTATATGCATTAAAGCACTTCTGAATTATGTTTACCACAGAATTGTATTCATAACTAGATGGTGTTTTGTTTAGTAATATGTTCAACTCTAGTGGGGAATAAATTAGAACAAAAAAAATGAATGAACAGATTCTTAAAAATTAGACCACGCTAAGACCTGTTTTTTTCAAATGTACCAAAGCTCAATAAAAGTATTTTTAAAGATTAGACCATGTTGACATTCTAGCAGGCAACATTTGCAAATAGGTAGTAATGTTGAGCATGGTATTTCAGGCCTCGTAGCCCCAGCAGGAGCCGGATACTAGACTGAGCAGCATAGCAAATCCCACCACACACACACACACACACACACACACACACACAAAAAAAAAAAACCAAAGCAACAACAACAACAAAAAGTATATAGTGGAGTGTCTAACCATTCCACACCAGTCTCTTGAAAATGGGTCCCTGGAATGAGAGGCTGTGACATGAATTTAGAATGAGTACTATCAGGAAACTTTGCCCTATATACAACAATTTGATGCTTAGCCCCCATAAATCTGTCAGTTGGTCTTTTTTACTGTGAATATTACACTGCTGCTACTACTGCCAAGTTTTTGAAAAAGCAGGAATAGCAGGGAATGATTATTTAAATTAATTTCTAAGCAGTACTGTGCACTGGGCAACTGTTGCCTGGTTTGCTAGTAAGCACGCATTCTAACACTCTTGAGGCTGTGCTTGGTATTGCCTTGTTTCACAAATGACTGGCATTTCCTACATGTTTGTGTGACACACACACACAAACATGCCAAATAGTGCAGTTTTTTGAGCAATGAGATGCATCTCACATGGCTATCTAATGTCGGGTGTCCTTGCAGCCACAGTACACGAACCTGGGGCTCCTGAACAGCATGGACCAGCAGATTCAGAATGGCTCCTCGTCTACCAGTCCCTACAACACAGACCACGCACAGAACAGCGTCACCGCGCCCTCGCCCTATGCGCAGCCCAGCTCCACCTTCGATGCCCTCTCTCCATCCCCTGCCATCCCCTCCAACACAGATTACCCGGGGCCACACAGCTTCGATGTGTCCTTCCAGCAGTCAAGCACCGCCAAGTCAGCCACCTGGACGGTAAGAGCACTGCACCCCCACTTTGAGGATGGTCTTCTTCACATCCCAGGATCCCTCCCCTTTCCAACTTCAAAGAGTCCTTATTCAATGAGGAAAGCAATTGTCTTTGAATATTTAAGAGTTACCCAAAGCATAGATGACATCTAATGTAAAAGCCCAGCTTGGGCTCAGATCCAAATGCACCTGTCTTGGCCAGCACCTAATCATAATTCTCCAATATGGACAGTCTCCAAGAAGTATAGTTTGCTAGGCTCCCCACTGTGAAGATGGAAACATGTTAAGGAGTGACTTAAAAAATATATTGCAAGAAAAATTAAGACAAGACATCATTTCCTGAGGCCTAATATATTTATGAATATTGAATCCATAACATGGATATATATACATATATATATATATCCCCTTCACTCTTTAAAAAGCATTTAATTCCAGCAATCAGGTGGCAGAGCCAAGCAATTCTCTGTGAGACTGAGGCCGGCCTGGTCTATGTAGCAATTTCCAGACCAGTTAGAGCCTGTCTCAAAAAGCAAAACAAAACAAAATCCTCTGCAACTATTTTTCAGGACTCCAAGTAAGTCAATTCAAAGGATTCTGATTTCAAATGTTGGAGGAAAAAAAAAATCTTTCCATATGTTCTGGATATAACTTTTCTAATGCATGTGTGTAACCCTCCCCCTCCATTAAAAACAGATCCCGGAATGGTGGTGGTGCAGGCCTGTAATTCTAGCTACTCATGAGGCTGACGCACAAAAATCACAAATTCAGGGCAGCCTAGGCTACAGAGTGAGTGCAAGGCCAGCTTGGGCAGCTTTGTGAGACCCTGTGTCAAAGTAGTCAAACAAAAAAGATAATAGGGAGAAAAGATGTCTGGCTCATGGTAGAATGCTTGTCTAGCATGTGAGGCCTAGAAAAAACTGAAAAATGTTTATTTGACTTCACAGACTTCACAGTTCTTTTGTAGTATAACAGGGATAAGGCTGGCATATGAGGGAAGAACCCGACAAATCTGGCTTTAACTGCATGTCCAGAGAATGCCAACCAAAGTGGCAAACGCTTATCAAATAATTTAATGTTTGCATGGTGTATGGCAATATTCCAAATATAATTTTATCAAAGAGTGACTTTAGGGTTGTTTGACCAATTCTTTGCCACTTTGGCAAATTGGAGTCACTGGAAAATAGCTACACTTTTATCTGTATATGGTACCTAGTTCTTTGTAGGCTTTTACCCAGGTATATGAAGTTCATCAGTAGTCTGCATTCATCACACTACAGCATAATTGGCATATATTCCTGCATTGTGACCTTGCCTCTGTGCAGGTAGCACAGTTCTGTAGCTCCCATGCTGCTGTGGAGGAAAGCTGGAGAACACAGAGGTTAACACAAGCATCATGCTTAAAGTTGCGGAAGTTTTTCCTGATCTGGCTCATTTCCGACTTCTGCCTCTCCGCCTGGAGTGTGACTTTACTTTCTGACTTTTCAGTCAGGATGTCCCCCATTGTCTAAAAATTCATTTTCCTTCAGTGCTTTCCCTTCATGGCTTTTTGAGATACTAAACTGTCATGGCTCATATTTCAACCATGAGTGTAAGTATTAGCTTAAAATCCCATCTTCCCTCCCTGTATAACTTATCAACTATGTCATAGTCTTTCATCTCATTTGCATTTATAATTCCAGAGATACAAGCTGTGGGTGAGGAAGCATCAGAATTTCCAGGAATTACATAGTTGACTGGTCTAATGATAACCACTTTATAAGGAGGATGTGTGCATCTTGGGATAGGAAGTAGACAGTAGTGATCAGAACCTTCAAAACTAACAGTTACTTGTTTGGTTTACTGAGCCCTGGGTCCACTCTGCTAAGCAGACTTGTCTAAGAGGAGAAAGGGGTGGTTAAAAACACTCAATAGTTATTGTTTCCCTTCTAAAATCATGAAAGAACCTGAAAGAACCATGGAAATGAGCCTTGGTGCAAGTTCATCGGCTCAGTCCTCCTTCCTTCTCTCTCCTTTACCTCTTCCCCTGGAAACTTAAGGTCTCTTTGTAGATTCAGCACAAACCCATACCATCCAAGCTCAAAGCCCTTCTCTCAAAGAAATATATTATCTCAAAAAATGATTGGGGTTCCCTACTTACATCATAGATTAGAGAGAAAACATTTTGATATAGTACACTGATAAAATATCCTTATAGATGACAGCAATTTTGAACACTGGGAAAAGACACTTGGCTTTCAGGAAGATAATATTGAGTGAGAACCAGAAAGCCTGGATCCTGGCATGACTGTCTGTGTGGCCTTAGCCAAGTCACTTTAGCCATCTAGAATTTAATCTGTGCCTCCATGAGGATGAAGATGGTGAAAGTTACTCTGTATTCTGAGGATGAGATGATAGAGCTATTATTCAGGACCAAACATTTTAGAATAAATTAGATTCTCATTAACTACACTGCCATTTGGTCATAAAATGGGTTTATAGTTTTCAATCTCTTGGGTTTCTGTGTAGTTGTTCTATGTAGCTGTCTAGTATATTACATGGTAGCTATAGTAAAGTTCTCTCATTCTCAGGTTTATTCCAAGATTACTTGCATTTCTTCAAAATCTAGGGCATTTTAGTCCTTACCTAGGTAATTCCCAAGATCACCTAAGGGGATACTATGTTCTTTAGATAAAGACAACCATGTTTTATATATAGCAGCATCCAATTATGCAGTCTGTTACACATTCTTGCATTTATAAAGGGCAACACATTTTAAAAACATTTTCTTACATATTGATCTTAGGATAAATATGACCAAGCCACTTACCCAAGTCTCCTGGCTTTAAAAATGAGGAAGCCTCATTTTTAAAAAACCATAGATAAAAACCATAAATGACTCATGGCCAAGGAGGGAGAGGGACCCAAGAGCCCTCACTCCTGGTGAAGTTCCCCCACCATCCTCTCTACTCTCTCATTCTCTAACTGACAAAAGGTTAAGCGTGTGCAGGAGTAGGAAGCCCCATGTCCTCGAGAGCTGCCTCTTGTGTCCTGACCCAACTGCTGGATGCTATTTTTGTGCCATATTACACAAAACTTATTCCTTAGGTATCTGTACATTTAAAGTGTTTTCTTTCCAAATACAATGCCATATCTTCACTCCCCACAACCTGGAACCACGGGAGCAGCCATTATTAGGACAGGCCACATCTACTCCTAGCCTTCTGGCTAAAATTATTTTTAAATCCTTTATATCACCTATTCACTCCTTTGTGATGTTTTTCCTTTATGATTTTTTGTTTTCACTCTCAGAATTACTATCAAAATATACCTACTATAAGTAAAAAGTAATGCATCTTCCTTCGCTTTTTCTGTTTTAAATAATAAATATGATGATGGTTCTAGTTCTATAAAACTGCGGGCTGATTTTAAATTTCTTCCTACAAAATGAGGTGAGGTACAAGAACATGCCCCTCCCACTCTTTTACAAACACAACTCAAAACTAAAAGTCTAAGATTTTGTTTTGAACCTCCTTCTTTCCTCAGTTTGACACTATTTATGGAGGCCCATTGTTCAATAATGCACTATTGTCCTAGTATTTTACCAGAAACTCATCAAACAGAAGGCATTTGAAAAACTGATACTTTGGAGATCCAAGAAACCTAAGTGTATGTTTCATCTCTGAAATTTACTACTGTCACAGGGATTTGCCCTCAAATTTGACCTCTCTAAACCTTACAATCTTTGCTTTCACAAGGGGATATCAATATTTTGCTGTAAGAAGTATGAGTAAATATACCTTTTAGTACATGACTTTTGACTTGTCTAAGGCACAGGAGTGTTCATTGAGTCTAAATTTATATATAAATTTGTGAGCTGACTTTCAGTCTTTGTGTGTATGTGGGAGGGGGTTTATTATAGTTTTGCTGAGGATTCAGTTGCATAACAGGTAATAATTTGAGAAAATGAAAAACAAAATGTCTACCAATTTCTTAATGTTTGTGGGATGCTCACATGAGAACATAAGCTCCAAAGGACTGAAATATTATCCTCTATCCAAATATGTTGAGATGACATATGATGGTAACGGAGTCTCCTGAATGCAAGCTGCTGCTAGCTGCCCTGCCTCCTCTTGACAGCATAATGGTGGGCCCTTCCCAGAAATAAAGCCTGTTGATTTAATACACTCATTTCTCACTTACAATTCTACTTTATGTATTAGGATTCCATTTTGTATTCCTTGTGTGGACAGGGATAGCAGTATGCCTCACTTATTGAAGAGTTTGCTGTTGACTCGTAGTGACATATTAGTGCATATACCAATCAGCAAGGTGGTACTAGTTCAATAAAGTGGGGTGTCTCTACAGATTGGAATGCTAGATGGATGTTAAACAGAATCATAAGTACTAGTATGGAGTTGCAGAGAGGAAAGGCATCCCATGAGAACTGTGAGTAAGGGGAAGGAATCCCTCAACTAAGGGCAGAGGATTTTCTTTGTATTGGACTGTACAGATGAGGTCTTTGTCAACAAAACTGGCTGGTCTTGGGCATTGACCTCACACACCTTTGCTAGGTTGAGGGTATTTATTTATTTATTTATTTATTTATTATTTAGCAATCCATAGCATAGTAGATTGAGTTCTCTGGGGAAACCCTTAGGTTGGGTTTTTCTTTTTTTTTTTTTTTTTTTTTTTTTTAAATTGTATTCATACTGAGGTAATGGCATCGTTTTGGGATGAAGGATCATTTGGACAACTATGCCCTTTTCTCTTCATAGATTTCAAAATGTTAAGGTAAAGCCCTGACTAAAGCCCAGCCCAGCACAGGTCCTTAATAAATATCAACAAACTTGATTTTTCTGTAGTTCCAAACACTGTCCTCCAGCTCTGACCCTCACTGTTAACTGTCCATGGACTTGGTCTCCTCTATCTTGGCCTGTGGTTTGTGGATAGCATTCCTCCTTAGCTTTTCCTAATCATTCCAGACTCAGGTTTTGTTCAGAGCTTTGAAGAATCTGACTGGAGCC